TGAGAGAGAGAGAGAGAGAGAGAGAGAGAGAGAGAGAGAGAGAGAGAGAGAGATGGAGAGAAGACAGCAGCAGCAAACACACCCAGCAGCAGACGAAGTCTTTAAGGCTATAAAAACAATAATTAAATACGAAAAATAATTTAAATTCATGGTTTATTTAATAAAGATAGTTTACTAGAAGCTGCGGTGTATGCACATACACCCTACACGAGACAGCGGACGGGTAGGAGGGGGCCCTTAGCTGAATATATGAATGTCTGTGCATGCATTTTTGCGGTTATATATATATATTTATATATTTTATTTGTTTTTATTTGGTATTTTATACTTAATTACACCAACAAAACCTCCGAAACCTCCGCCTTTCTGCCTCCTACGTCTCTCTCTTCCTATATCTTCTATTTTTGTTCACAGCTGCCAGCTACCTCTGCAAGCAGCAGCAGATAGGAGGATAAAATTATATAAATACCGTTTGGTTTATGTTTATTATTTATTTTATTGCCGGTGGTTCTTCATTTAAGCCCTCCTACACCCCCCCTTCTTTGTAGCATATAAAGGAGGGCCCCCACCGCTAGCCGAAAGACGATCCCGATCCCGATCCTTCGTTCCCCGATCCCCGATCCCGATCCCATATATCCTTCTTGGGTGTATATTAACCTCCTGGATGCCCCTTTTGGTGTATCTGCTATCTATGAACCCCTCTCATTTCTTTTAATCACTCTACCGTAATCATGCCCCCTAAAAGACAAACAAATAAACAAGAAGATATGTCATTACAAAGACGTAGACATCCTTCTTCACCAAGAGACTCATCAGATACTTCAGGGTCTCCATCTGGGGCCCCCCCTTCCTCTAAGATTACTGTGGGGTCCCCTAGGGGTACACCTGGTGGGGCCCACGGGGGGTCCCCTGGGGGCCCCCCTTCAACATCTCCTGTACAGCGTGCTGCATTAAAAGCGAAAGAAGCAGCAGTATGTGGGGTACCCGTTGGGGGCCCCCCTGTGGGGCCCCTTGGGGGCCCCTCTGGGGGGCCCCCAGGGGCCCCTATAGGGGCCCCTATTATAGGCGGGGATAGTGGTGTGGGGCATGCAATGAAGCGGTTGCTGCTGCTGTTTAGTGCTGGAGTGTGTTTGGGTTTGTTATGTGTATTTCTTTTTGTCAGTACTTCTTTATTATTTGTAATTGAAGAGACAGCTGAGACTGAAGCAGCAGAGGGATATTTTAGACGGGCTGCCAGCAGCAACAGCGTCTTCAGATTTATGAACAACATTAAAAAAGATATAAAAGAGTTAAAACCGCAAAAAGAAGAAGTGCTCGTCAAGGGTAAACCTGCATTCCTATACAAAACCAAGAGAACAGAAGAAGTGCGTCTGTTGTTCTTGTTGTTGTTGTTGCTGCTGCTGCTGCTGCTGTTGCTGCTGCTGCTGCTGTTTGTTTGTGTGGCTATCATCTCCTTTATCTCTGTCTCTTTGTCTCTTTTTTTTTAATATCTCTACACGAAAGATAAACATTGCGCTAAAAATAAAGTTTTTTATCTATCATCTGCTGTCTTCTTGCGTATTCCTTATCTAAACAAATATTTATTTATTTATTTATTTATTTATTTATTTATTTATTTATTTATTTATTTAATGCATCTATTTACTCTTTTGATTGTATAATAATGTCTTTGTTCATTGACAATCTCTCTATTGATAAGTACCCAACACTATCACTGAAAAATAAATAAATAAATAAATAAATAAATATATAAGTATATAAATATATAAATATATAAATATAAATAAATATAAATAAAACCATACAAATGTATATTTAAACACGCACGTATATAAATAACTAGAAATACATTTAAACATACATTTAAATAAATATATATATCTATTTAAATAGATTATATATATTTATATTTATATTTATATTTATATATAATGCTGCAGGTGTTTACTGGGACAACAAGTGAGCGGCTGCACGGCCGAGTCGGTGAAGATGAGAACGGCCTTCGACTGTGGATGCCTTCGCCTCCTTTGACGCATCAAACTACTCAAGACTTACAAAGATCCTATGAAGGTAATGCTCCTGCTGCTCATGCTGCTGCTGCTCATGCTGCTGCTCATGCTGCTGCTGCTGCTCATGCTGCTGCTCGTGCTGCTGCTGCTGCTCTTGCTGCTGTTGCTGCTGGTGGTGGTGGTGGTGCTGCTGCTGCTGGTGTTGATGATGATGGTGGTGGTGCTGCTGCTGGTGTTGTTTTTGTTGCTGCTGCTGTTGCTGTGTGCATGCATGGGGGGCAACAAAGCAGCAGCAGCAGCAGCAGCAGCAGCAGCAGCAGCAGCAAACCCCACAGTTTGTGCTGGTCTGTTCAGGATATTGTTTTAATTCTGCGTTGAGCGATACGCTGAGCTTGGATCGCCCGATCCCATCGTTTGACTCTGCTGCATGCGCAGCGCAGCGTGAGGAGTTTGCAGCAGCAACAGCAGCAGCAGAAGCAGCAGCAGCAGCAGGAGGAGAAGAGGGTTTATCTTCACCTTTGCTGCTGCGAGCTTCTGTAATAATAGTGCTGCATAACGAGCTGCTGTCTGCTCTGCTGAGATCCCTGCACTCTGTCTTAAACCGCACGCCGCCTCGCTTTTTAAAGGAAATAATATTAGTTAACGATAACTCTGACAAAGATACACATCCTTGGCTGTATGAACAGCTCGAAGAATATATTACTCGCGCTGTCCCCAAGACGAAGCTCCTCCACCTCCCGCAAAGAAGAGGGCTCATGGTATCCTGCTGCTGCTGCTGCTGCTGCTGCTGTTGCTGCTGTTGCTACTGTTGCTGCTGTTGCTGCTGCGGCTGTTGTGGCTGTTGCTTGTGGGGGTGCTGCTGCTGCTTTGGGTGTTGCTGTTGCTGGGGGTTATATGGTGCTGCTGGTGTTGCTATTGCTTCCGCTGCTGCTATTATTATTGCTGCTGCTTCTGCTGCTGCTGCTTGTGGTGATGTTTAGGGTGCGCGTGCTGCAGGAGCAGCAATAGCAAGCGGGGATGTACTTGTATTTTTAGATTCGCATATAGAAGTGCTGCCGCACTGGGTTGAGCCTCTGCTGCAGCGTTTGTCAGTAGCAGCAAAAGCAGCAGTTATGCCTCGCGTTGCTTCTATAGACGCAGAGACATTTGAAGTTAAAAACGGCGGCATTGATACACTAGCCTTCTCCTGGAACCTAGGACATATGCACAGAGACGACGAAATTAAGAACAGAATAATTAACAAGAACAAAAAACAAACTGAGCCCCTCTACAGTCCTATCATGCCTGGCGGTATATTTGCAATCAAAAGAGATTGGTGAGCCTATTACACTTCTTTCTGTCTCTTATTGTCTCTTTTATTGTCTCTTTTATTGTCTCTTTTATTCTCTCTCTTTTGTCTCTCTTTCATTGTCTCTTTTATTCTCTCTTTTGTCTCTTTTATTGTCTCCTTTATTGTCTCTTTTATTGTCTCTTTCGTCTCTCTTTCATTGTCTCTTTTATTGTCTCTTTTATCTCTCTTTCATTGTCTCTTTTATTGTCTCTTTTGTCTCTCTTTCATTGTCTCTTTTGTCTCCCTTTTGTCTCCCTCTCATTGTCTCTTTTATTGTCTCTCTTTCATTGTCTCTTTTGTCTCGTTTATGTCTCCTTTGTGTCTGTCTTTTGTCTCCTTTTTGTCTTTTATTGTCTCTTTTGTCTCTTTTTTATTGTCTCTTTCATTGTCTCTTTTACCTCTCTTTTATGTCTCTACTTTGTCTCTCTTTTGTCTCTTTTATGTCTCTACTTTGTCTCTCTTTTGTCTCTTTTGTGTCTCTACTTTGTCTCTCTTTTGTCTCTTTTATGTCTCTACTTTATCTCTCTTTTGTCTCTTTTATGTCTCTACTTTGTCTCTCTTTTGTCTCTCTTTTATTGTCTCTCATTGTCTGTCTTTAGTCTCTCTTTTATGTCTGTCTCCTTTGTCTCTTTTATGTCTATTTATGTCTCTTTGCTGTCTCTACTTTGTCTCTTTTTGATATATTTTATTGTCTCTCTTTTCTGTTTTATTGTTTGTCTCTCGTCTCTGTTTGTCCGTTTTATATATTCTTTGCGTCTCGTTTAGCTGTCTCTCTTTTGTCTCTTTTGTCTCTACTTTTTGTCTGCTGCTGCTGTTGTTTTTGCTGCTACTGCTGCTGTTATTGCTGCTGCTGCTGCTGTTATTATTATTATTGCTGCTGCTGCTGCTGCTGCTGCTGCTGTCTCTTTAGGTGGGAGACCCTCGGCGGCTATGATGAAGAAATGCGTCTCTACGGCGGAGAAGAATTCGAGCTCTCCTTTAAGGTGCTGCTGCTGCTGCTGTTGCTGCTGCTGCTGCTGCTGTTGCTGTTGCTGTTGCTGCTGCTGCTCTTGTTGTTCTTGCTGCTCTTGTTGCTGTTGTTGCTGCTGTTGCTGCGGCTGTTGCTGCTGTCATTGCTGCTGCTATTATTGCTGCTGCTCCTAATATATATTTTTTGTATATACAAACATAATATATATTTATATTACATATTTATATAATATATATATTTATATATATATTTATATGTTATTCATTAAAACTTTATTTTTTTTCTTCCTTCCGGTGTACATGCATGATTATATATATATAACACTTAATATATATTTTGATATTAAAATAATATAAATAATACTCAATAATAAACAATAAATGATTGTTTATAAACTTTATTTTTATATTTATTTTATTTTTATTTAGGTGTGGATGTGCGGAGGAGCCCTCGAAGTTTTAACCTGCAGCAAAGTCGCCCACATCTTCCGCTCAGACAAATACTGGAAAGGTAAACCCTAAACCCTAAACCCTAAACCCTAAACCCTAAACCCTAAACCCTAAACCCTAACTAAACCCTAAACCCTAACTAAACCCTAAACCTTGAACCCTAAACAAGAATGAATAAACGATAAAAAATAAACCCTACGCCCCACGCTCAAGACCCTAAAACCTAAACCCTAAACCCTAAACCCCAGTTGGAGAATAGACAGTATAAAGACAGTGAAGAAACGACAAAGAGATAAAAAGATAAACCACAAGAGACGAACAAAGAGCAGCAACATATATAATATATATAATCTAAATATATATAATACATATAATATAATATATATAATATGCATGCATATAATACATATAAAGATATATCTAGATGAATAAATAAATTAACAAAACAAATAAATAAATATACAACTCAGAATATTAACGCAAACAAATAAACAAACAAACAAACAAACAAACAAATATAATATATATAATATAATATATATATATATATAATATATATATATATATATATTGTATTTGTTTGATTAGGGCAAGTATATGCAGTGTCAGGGGACGAAATATCGCGAAATAAACAAAGAGCAGCATTTGTATGGATGGACGAGTTTGTGAAGTATGTATTGCTGACGACACCGCCGTTATCTGCTTCATTTATTGGGGATTTGTCGAAGCAAAAAGCGCTGAGGAGACACCTGAAGTGCAAGTCTTTCATGTGGTACTTACAAAATGTCTATCCTGAGTTAGAGGCCCCCCCGCTGCATGCAGCAGCAACAGGAGCGGTCTTAAGAAAGGACCTTAATAGCTGTCTCGACACAATGCAGAGAGACAGAGGGCCCCTAGGCGCCTTTCCCTGCCACTTCGCACACGGCACTCAGGTAGGCTCAACCTGCTGCTGCTGCTGCTGCTGCTGCTCGTGCTGCTGCTGCTGGTGCTGCTGCTGCTGCTGCTGCTGCTCATCCTGCTCCTGCTGCTGCTCGTGCTGCTGGTGCAGGTGTTGGTGCTGGTGCTCTTTGTTGCTGCTCTTGCTGCTGCTGTTGTTGTTGCTGCTCTTGCTGTTGTTGGTGCTGCTGCTGCTGCTGCTTTTGTTGTTGTTCTGGCTGCTGTTGTTGCTGTTGGTGCTGCTATTGCTGTTGCTGCTGCTGCTGCTGCTGCTCCCACTCCTACTATTCCTGCTGCTCTAATTCCTGCTGTTCCTATTCCTGTTCCTGCTGCTGCTGCTTCTGCTGCTGCTGTTGCTGCTGCTGCTGCTGCTTAAAATTGTATTATTGCGTAGGCGTTTTTATTTGATGGATCTACTGGGAAGTTTTTCGTCGGACAGAAAGGGTTTACTTCGTGTATAGCAGGAGACACGAAGAAGCGACTGGTGCTGCAGCTGAGCTGCACATACACCGCAGCAAATATATCATTGCGATGGAAGCTTTATCCTCAAACAGGACAGATACAGCTGGATTTGTCTGCAGCAGCAACAATTGAAGACGAAGAAGCAGCAGCAGCAGCAGCAGCAGCAGCATATGAAGAAGAAGATGAAGAAGCAGCATATGAAGACGAAGAACCACCAGCAAATGAAGAAGAAGAAGCAGCAGCAAATGAAGAAGAAAAAGCAGCAGCAGCAAAAGAAAATAAAGCAGCAGCAGCAAATGAAGAAGAAGAAGCAGCAGCAGCAAAAGAAAATAAAGCAGCAGCAGCAAAAGAAAATGAAGCAGCAGCAGCAAAAGAAAATAAAGCAGCAGCAGCCAAAGCAGCAGCAGCAACCCAAGGAGACGCCGATCCTGCTGCAGCAAAAGATGCATCTGCAGGAGCAGCAAAAGCAGCAGCAACGAAAGATGGATATAAAGCAGCAAAGGACAAAGAAGAAGCAGCAGCAGCAGCAGCAGCAGCAGCAGACTCTGCAGAGGACGGATCCCAACAGACTGCAGCAGCAGGCAAGCCAGCAGCAGCAGCAGGAGTAGCAGTAGGAGCAGCAGCAGGAGCAGCAGCAACTGTAGCAGGAGAAGCAACTGAGGGTTTATGTCTTCGTATCTTCTCTAATCCTACAAAGGCAAGCCTTCATGCTGTTGAGCTGGCAGAGTGCGACCCCACAGACAAAGGCCAGCGACTTGAATTTGTACCCTAAACCCTAAACCCTAAACCCTAAACCCTAAACCCTAAACCCTACAACCTATATAGAGGAAGAAAAAGGCCAAGCCAAAATGCGAAGCAGCCTTCAACTAATAGTTTGTATAGTGCTACTGCCGCAGCAGCAACAGCAGCAAGCGCAGCAGCAGCAGCAGCAGCAAATGCAGCAGCAGCAGCAGCAGCAGCAAATGCAGCAGCAGCTGCATATTCATCAGCAACCGCAAATGCAGCAACAAAAAAACCTTTTATTGGATGCCTGCTATCCGCCACCCGCAGCACACAGTACCCAGCAGCGGGCTGCAGCAGCAACAGCAGCAGCAACAGCAGCAGCACCAACAGCAGCACCAGCAGCAGCAACAGCAGCAGCAACAGCAGCAGCAACATGAACAGCAGGAGTTGCTGCTGCTGCTATATTTTTATCAACCAGATTTGGTGCCTTGCCGCTGCTATTAAGGGACTATCTGCTGCTGCTGCAGTTGCTGCTGCTGTAGATTGTGCTGCTGCTATAGCAGCAGCGGCAGCAGCCCCTCCCCCTGCAGCAGCAATTCTCATGCTGGTGCAGTGAACAGCATCAAACAGCAGCAAACCGCGATGCGCCTGCAAGCTACTACAGCAGCAGCAAACTGCTGCTGCTGTATTAGCAAACTGCAGAAGAAGCAGCACCGGCAACCGCAGCAGCTGCTGCTGTATTAGCAGCAGCAGCACCGGTTACAGCAGCAACAGCAGCTGCTGCTGTAGCTGCAAACTGCAACAGAAGCAGCAGCAGCAGCGACAGTAGCGGCAGCTGCAGCTGTACCGGCAAGCTGCAGCAGCAGCAGCACCGGCTACAGCAGCAGCAGCTGCTACCGCTGCAGCAGCAAACTGCAGCAGCAGCTCTAGAGGACACCTTTGAGAACCTCTTACTATTTTGCTGTTATTCTTCGCGCGGGTTTACACACCCTCTTTCTGCTGTTGCTGTTGCTGCTGCTGCTGCTGCTGCTGTTACTGCTGCTGCTGTTACTGCTGCTGCTGCTGTTACTGCTGCTGCTGTTACTGCTGCTGCTGCTGCCGCTGCTTAGAGTTTGCGTGGCGGTAGAAGGCCTCATTTGTTTAGCGGGTTTATATTATTTTTATATTTTATTTTTATATTTTTATTTTGTTTTCATTTATATCTACAGCAGATGTACGTACACTCCAAAGCTAACAGAGACACCCCAGCTGTACTGCGCACCCCTCATATAAACCCTAAACCCTAAACCCTAAACCCTAGCAGCGCTGCAGCGCTGCTGAGGGCTTGTAGCAGGGATTATCGCGTGGTTTAGGGTTTAGGGTTTAGGGTTTTGTATATTTGTTTTGTTTTCTCCTTTGTGTCTCTGTGTCTCTCTGCTCTATTCTTCGTTCATTACTATTTAAACATTATAATTATATTATTTAATTATTATTATTATATTATTTTATTATTATATTATTTTATTATAATATTACTTTATTATAATATTATAATATTATTTGTTTTTCTTTGTTGTTTCTGTCTGATGCCCACCCCTTAGTATTTCTTATTTACTATTATTTTGATTATTATTATTTATTATTTATTTATTTATTTATTAACATTACTGTTATTAGTATTATTGCGTATTAAAAATAATATAAATTTATTAAAATAAAATAATATTAATATAAATAAATTATTTTTTGTCTTTGTTTGTTTCAGTTTGCTGCAGCGCAGCAAAGACAGCAGCAAGGGCCTCGCCCCCATTATAAAGGGGCCCTAAGAGTTTATATAATGTTTGCATGCGCTGTAAACCTAAAGACGAGAATAGCGATATAAAGACCCTTCTGCTGCTGTCTGCATCTGCTGCAGCATACTCAAGTTGTTCTTTTGTTAGCTCTACACCCCACTCACTTGTTTGCTGCTTCTTTTCTAATGTCTCTTGCAGATACACCGCACATAAAGCTTGCAGAGACATACCCCGAGGGGCCCCCCTTAACAGGGTACTACTAGGGGGGGCCCCCCAGTACCCAGTTGGGGGGCCCCCCACCGCCCCCACATGGGGGCCCCCTTGAGGCCCCCCTGAGTACCCTTTTGGGGTCCCCCCTAGGGGCCCCCCTGAGTACCCTTCTGGGGGCCCCCTTGGGGGCCCCCTTGGTGTGTGTAAGTTTAAGCGAGAAAGGAGGAGAGAAGCCCGATGTAGACAAAAGAAAGATGAAGGCTGAACACCAAATTCTAGCAAGAGATGTTTGTGCTCTGCTGCAGCACCTTGAGTTGCTTTTAATATATTAGGGTTTGACAGTATATCTGCTGCACATTGAGGTAAGCCGAGTAATTTATTTAATAAAAATATCGCAACAACGCCGGGGGCCCCCAGCTGCATAATGCTAAGAGGCACACTTTTAATATTCTTTTTCATGTACTTCGGTAGAGGAGGGTGCTCAGTATCATAGCCTAATAATAAATGCCCGTCCAGCAATGAAGACCTGCTGCTGCTGCTGCTGCTGCTGCTGCTGCTGCTGCTGTTGCTGGTGCTACTGCTGCTTTTGCATGCAGCAATTAGTGCTTCGCATGCATTGACTGCTTCTTCTGGTGTCTGTACAACAAGGATTTGTCCTCTAAATCGTACAGGCGGAAGGGGGGCCCCCCGGGGGCCCCCAAGGGGGCCCCTAGGGGCCCCCTCAATGGGTTTATTAGAGTAGAAATATTTAGGGGTTGTTGAAAATGTTTGTTTGTCCTTTGGTGTTTTAAAAGAAGACTGAAAAGCTAAGCGAGAAGATAGGGGGCCCTGGGGGGCCCCCAGGGGCCCCCCTGAGGCAGCAGCAGCAGCTCTTGTGGGGCCCCACAGTGTATGAGAAGCTAAAGAGAATAAAGAAGGTTTAAAAGAAAAAGAGACAGAAGAGCTGCTATAGGAGACAGGGGCCCCTAAAGAAAAACAAGAAGAGGGGCCCCAGGAAAGGGGGGCCCCCTGCATGCCGATGAAGAGTAGTTAAATGTAAAGGTGAAGAAATAAAGCAGAAAATATAAATTAATTATTTATATATTTATATTTAAATAAAATATATACAACCAGAAGATCAAACTGCTGCTGCTGCTGCTGCTGCTTCTGTTGCTTCTGTTGCTGCTGCTCCGCACGGGTTCGTAGCAGTAGCCGCAGCAACAGCAGCAACAGCAACAGCAGCAGCAGCAGCAGCAGCAGCGCATGCACAGGGATGCTACACAAATAAATTGTTATATTTTGGGGTGTATATACACCGTAGAATCCTTTCTTTTATCTAAGCCTTCTCCTCTCTCCTGGCTGCTGCTGCCGACTGCTGTCGCATCTGTTGCTGCAGCAGCAGCAACAGATCGTGCTGCTGCTGTTGCTGCTGCTATTATTGTTGTTGCTGTTGCTGCTGCTGTTGCTGCTGGCCCTAGAAGACACCTGGCAGCAGCAGGCTCGGGGCCCCTTTCACCAGCTGCAGCAACTGGGGGGCCCCCTGCTGCCGTCTTCGTAGGGGCCCCCAGCTGCAGCAGCAGGCTGAGCACACTGCACAAGCAGCAGCATCTGTTGTGGCATCAGCAGCAGCAGCAGCAACAGCAGCAGCAGCGACAACAGCAACAGAGACACCAGAAACACACACCCTTACACCCTAACCGCTCCAGCAGCAGCAGCAGCAGCAGCAGCAACAGCAGCAGCAGCAACAGCAGCAGCAGCAGCAGCAGCAGCAGCAACAGCAGCAGCAACAACAACAACAACAACAACAACAACAACAGCGGCAGCAGCAGCAGCAGCACGCCAATGACCGGCGGTGTACGTACACCGGACAGCAGAAACTCCGCTTCCTCCCGCTTGGTGCTGCACCTCTTCGTTCCCCCCTTACAAATCCTCAGCAGCAGCTTGCTGCTGCTGCAGCAGCCAGAAGCAGCAGCAGCAACAACGAGCGGGGACACCGGGGCCCCGCTGCGGAGACCCAGAAAGACCTCTCCCTCTAGGACGAGCAGCAGCAGCAGCTGCAGCAGCAGCAGCAACAGCAACAGCAGGAGCAGCAAGAAGCGGGTCCGGTTGCAACTGCTGTGCGGCGTAAGGGGGCATCTGCTGCAGGCAAAATCCACGCCAGCAGCAGCAGCAGCAGCAGCAACAGCATCAGCAGCAGCAACAGCATCAGCAGCAGCATCAGCAGCAGAACCAGCTGCAGCTGCTGCTGCACATATCCCTGGAAATGGAGCCACCACCAGTAGCAGCAGCAACAGCAGCAGCAGCAGCAGCAACAGCAGCAGCAGCAACAAGTCAAGCCTTTGCGCTGGTATAAGAGCAGCGGCAGAGGGGGCCCTCAGCCTGAGTCTTCCTGGCTGTACATTGTTTAATAACAGTTTATGCGGCAGCAGCGAGAAGCAAAGAGATGTATTTAATTGCTGCAGTTTAATTTTAGCTGTACCTGAATGCGCTGCCTTGAGGTTCTTGCTGCTGCTGCAGCTCTTCTGCTGCAACCTCCTAGATGACCTTGCTGCAGTCTGGCTCCTGCCCACGCTGCTAGAGCAGCAGCAGCAGCAGCAGCAGCAGCAGCAGCAGCAGCAGCAGCAGCAGAGGGTAAGGGGAGGTGCTCTGCATGCGGTGTTGTGCAAATGGAAGACGCAGACAGCCGCCGCTGAATTTGTTAAACAAATTTCGGGTGTGGGGCCCCACACCCTCGTCCCAGCAGCAGCAGCAGCAGCAGCAGCAGGAGGCCGTCACCAGCAGCAGCAGCAGCAGCAGCAGCAGCAGCAGCTGGAGTTGTGGAGAGTTTTAGGGTTTCGATGCGGCCAGTGGGAGGCGTGGGGCCTCTCAGCTGTGGTGCTGTCATCAGTCTCCCTGTTTGCTGCAGCAGCAGCAACAGCAACAGCAGCAGCAACAGCAGCAGCAGCAGCAGCAAACGAGGAGACAGGGTCTGGTGTGTCTTCTGCTGCTGTAAACGACAGCCAAGAATACCGCAGGGAGGTAAAATAAATATTTTTCGCCGTATTAAGATGTTTAATTTAATTTATTTTATTTTAATTAATTTAATTAATTTAATTTAATTTAATTTAATTTGTTTTATTTTTCTTCAGATTTCTGCTCTTTGGCGATTGCCTGGCTGCCCCATTTGTTTATCGCGAGTAGACGCTGCAGCTTCAGGTGTATATACACCTCAGACGCAGTGGGTAGCTGCTGCTGCTGCTGCTGCTGCTGTAGCTGCTGCTGCTGCTACGGGGATCTCCTCCGCGCATGCAGCAGCAAACGAAGGTCTCCTACACCAAGAAGCTCTTGCTGCTGTTCAGCAGCGACCTGCTGCTGCGGCTGCTGCTGCTGCTCTTGCTGGATGCTGCGCCTGTGAAGTTGTGCTGCAGTGGCAGCTGCGAAACCTTCTCCAGCAGCGGCAGCAGCAGCAGCAACAGCAACAGCAGCAGCAGCAGCAGCGGCTTCGGAACGAGCAGCAGCAGTCAGAGAAGGCTTTTGGAGGAGCAGCACAAGCAGCAGCAGCAGCAGCAGGAGCAGCAGCAGCAAACAACCAGGCCCTCACTTGCTGCGGAAGCATGGGCCTGCGCTGCAGCAGCAGCAGCAGCAGCAGCAAAAGCAGCAGCACCAGGAGGCGGTGCAGCAGCAGCGAAAGGCTAAGAAGCAAAGGCTGCAGCAGCTCTGTAAGACGCAGCAGCAGCACACCACCCTCCACCATTAGCAGCAGCAGCAGCATCAGCAGCCACAGCGGCAGCGCCTGGAGTTGCTGCTGCTGCAGGTTTTTAGAGAGCAGCGGCAGCAGCAGCAGCAAAGGCAGGTCAGTATGGCTGTACGAAAGGCCTCCCAGCGGTGGAACGGGCAGCAACAGCAGCAGCAACAGCAGCAGCAGCAGCAACAGCAGCAGCAGCAGCAGCAGCAGCAACAGCAGC